GACATTGAGCCTCAATCCATACTGATGGCTGCAGTACTTGGGAAAAATAAAGTTCTGCTCTTGATGACTAAATAATGGTTCTCTGTCATATGTGAACCTAAATACACACACACACATCTTTCTATTTCAGTCAGAGTTGCTGGCTAGTATGAGATGTGAGCTTTACAACATGTAAGTATTTTTTATTTAAAATAAAATTTCTATTTTATCCTGGTTTATTTACAGTAGTTCGTATACATTGTTTACCACATCGGATCTTTTCCTTATCCTTTACCCATCCCTTCATCCACCTATCAAATTGCGTGCCCCTATGATTACCCCTCATCCTTGTCCCTCTGCTCCATCCTCCCCCCCTTATTTTCTAATACATGCTCTACAATAATGGTCTTATACTGTTATTTGTCCTTATGGGACAGAGTTAGTTCACTTAGAATAATGCTTTCTAGTCCCTGCCAAATTAAGATAGTAATTCACAAAATCTTTGTTCCTGTGTGATGCATAGTCTCCTATCGTGTACCATTTCTCAATCCATTCGACTTTGTGATGGTGAATAATGCTGCTATGAACACTGGTGTACAAACCTTCATTTGTGCCTCAGTTCTCATTTTCTCAGGTTATATTCCAAGCAGTGGATTTTTTTTAAAAAAATTAATTTTAATGAACGTTTAGAGAGATTTTGGATTTCCATACATTCACTGTGGCATTTTTCTCCCTGCCCAGCCCTTCCCCCAGTTCACTCTTCTCTTTGAAAAGTAAAAGAAAAATTATTTCACTGGTATAGAATGCCCCCCAAACCCCACCCTGAGTACATTTCACTATGCAACCTTCATTCTGGACTCTTGTCATAACCATAATACCCAATCAAATATCGCTTTCAAATGTTCTCTCCCTTATCTATTTCAAGCAGTAGATTTTCTATGCTCACCTTTCTGAGAAAATGCCAAACTGCCTTCCAGAGTGGTTGTACCATTTTACAATCCCATCAACAATGTGTGAGTTCCTATCTCACCACATCCTCTTCAACATTTATTACTTGTTCAATTTTGCCACTGCTACTGCCGTGAGATGATATCTCATTGTGGTTTTGATTTGCATCTCTCTTATTGTCAGTGATATTGAGCATTTCTTCATGTATCTGTTGGCCATCTCAATATCCTCCTCTGTGAAGTCTTTTCCATGTCTTTTGCCCATTTTGTAATTGTGTTATCAGTCTTTTTCTTGAGGAGGTCCTGTAGGATTTTGTAACTTTTGATATGAGAACATTGGCTGAAATGGTATCACCAAATGTTTTTACCAGTCAGTAGGTTTATTTCTCACTTGGTTAGAAAAAAGTTTTGATGCGCACAGGGATTTAATCTTTAGAAGTCCCACTCATCAGTTTTCTTTTTCATGCCAATCATATTTTATTTTTTCTCCTCTGTTTTTAATACTAGTTTATTATCAAAATTTGAATATGTTGTTTTTGAGAAGAGATTCTTCCAATTTCCCTCACTATCAAATTATACAACTCCATGTTTATCCCCTAACCTCCACCCCCTGCACATCCTCATCCCTCTGCTTCCACCCTCCCTTAACTTCTTTGGAGCCTTATACCATTCTACAATAATGATTTTATAAAATATTTTTCCTGTGGGTCCGAGTTAGTTAGGTAATAATTTACAAAACCATTGTTCCTGCAAGCTGAATTTTGTGAATACACCATGATTTCTCAATCCATTTGTTTGTGTTTGGACATTTGGGCTGTTTCTATGTTCTTGCTATGGTGAATAAAGCTGCTATGAACATTGGTGTACAACTCTCCATTGGTGCCTCAGTTCTCATTTTCTCAGTATAACAACAACAACAACATATTCCAAGTACTGGTCAAATCCTCATAAAACAGTAATAGTGCTAACCTACTCTAGGGATTAAAGCCCTATTTTCTACTCAACCCTTAAAAAAGCAGAGGAGATGCACATCCAAAAACTTCTCCAACAGGGTAAAAAGGGAAGTAACAAACTGGGGCAAAGTATTTGGTAATGATCTTATCAGATAAGGGACTTATATCCAGAATTTATAAAATACTTGAGCTCCACAACAAGATAAAGGTAAATAATCCAATAGAAAAATGGACACAGGATATGAACAGACACTCCACCAAAGAAGACATTCAGATGGCCAACAAGCACATGAAGAAATGTTCAAAATCCTTAGCTCTAAGAGAGATGCAAATTAAAACAACTATGAGATACCATCTTACCCCAGTAAGAATAGCAAAATTTAACAGAACAGCACACAACAAATGCTGGCAAGGTTGTGGAGAAACTGGAACCCTTATTCACTGTTGGTGGGAGTATAAAATGGTGCAACCACTGTGGAAGGCGGTATGGCGCTTTCTCAAAAAGTTGCAAAGAGTGATACCATTTGACCCAGCAATCCCACTACTGGGAATATACCCTAAAGAGACCATAACT